AACTCATCGACGGTGTACTACCGTCCGCTCGCGTTTTAACGCAAATCCCTGGTCTGGTTCTCGTCGCGCGCGCGATAATGAACAATGCGCGGCTCTGAGTACGCGCGCGTTAATCGACGGGTGGGATTGAAAATTGCCCCGCAGGAAACAACGGCTTGCACGCTCCTCGATTTGGATTTAATTCAAATTCGATATCGTGATTTATATAATCGTGATATGTACAATCGCCTGAGACGGGAGAGACACATGAAAATTGCGTGCGAAAGCCAGGAGTGCAGCACTCCCCATTGGCGCATAAATACACAAATTTGCGGGACGAACTCGCGTGGAAGCTCGAGGGCGAAAATTTACATCTCGCACAGCGAGATCAGCGAATGTGATCATTTCTCTCTTTCTTTCTCCTTCAAAGGCGGTGGTTCTCGCTTATATTGCGTGGTAAATGTAAATGCATCTGTACGTGCGAATAAACGCTCACGTTCACCGCTAGCGACAGTTTCGAGAGAGCGACTTTGCGGTGGTCGCAAGACGCCTGGAAATTTCGCCCCGACACGGCGCCGACACGTGCGCCGGCCGATTTATCGCACTCGTTTCGGCGGAGAAACGAAAAGCGAGCCGAGATAGGGCACGATTCCGATCCGTGCGCGAAGAAAGGAAAAGTCACGGCGCCCGTCGCGCTCTATCTGTCCCGACGTGATTTCTCGAGCGAACAACTTCGTCCCGCGCGCTCTCATCGAGCGACCTCTGACACGGGTCAGAGGTATCGGGGTCCTTCGGCCGCCGATAACCTGCGGACCTCTCCGGCGGCGGTATTAATGCGGAGAGCCTCGCAGCGCTCAATAATATTTTTTGAGCCTACTTATCGTCGAAATAACGCTCGCGATCGATAGCCTTTGCTCGTGGAATCTTTGTTTCTCGCGCGCGCGCATTGCGCCAGAGTCGGCCGCTCGGCAAGTCAAAACAATCGTCCTCGACGGGATTATCAGGTATCAGGTGCACCACCTGATAGTGCCGGGATAGTGGAGTGATCGCTGAGAGAGACGGCCACGTGCACGCCGACTGTGGCCGAGCGTCACGAATGCATTCTTCGCGGACGATCTCGCGGACAATGGAGGAACAAGGCCTGACTGAGGCTGGTCAGCGTGAGTCGAGCTGAGAGAGTATCGCCGCACTCTCGTGCGTGCACGCGTTAAATTATGCGTCGCCGCATGCTCTTACGCGTATACAGACCGGGGGACACACAATGCGGCAACGTGTGCGTTCACGCACAGGTCGGGGCACGATGGCTTTTAAACCGGGCGACGCGAGAACGAGAGAACAAACGAGCGAGCGGCAGAGAGAGAGAGAGAGAGAGAGAGAGAGAGAGAGAGGGAGAGAGTCCATTCGGAAGCGAGAAGGTTTAAAGGTCTCCTCGGACTCAGCGCTCTGAGCGCTGAGGGCAGCGCTTAAACGCCTCTATTAAGGCGTCATTATTAGCGTCTCGACAATAAGATTCCCCCCTTCCGCGCGCGGCTGTGTGTCACGATCGCTTCGACGCACACTGGTCGTTTCGCAGATTGACGTGTCCGGACGTGCCGGATGCGCATTTTTGAGACACGCTGTAGCCCCGTCGTCGGTGCCCCCGGGGGCGGCACCAATCCGAGTCGACTCGACGAGACGGCCTTATAAAAAGCGATACTGTTACTTCCGAGATGCACGCGCGCGCGCGCGCGCGGAGAATTGCTCCTCCGCTCCGCTGGTAGCACAGACGTCTAATTAAAGGCCGCGAGCGAGCGACTCGCGAGAAAACGGGGGTGAGAATCCTCCGCGCGGAGGATTATCCGCGAGAGCGGAGGAGCGCGCTCGCTTGCCTTTAGCATCGCGCTAGACCGGCTAATTGTCGCTGGATTTACACGCTGCAGACAGTGAACGCGCGCACGACGTTATCAACGCGCTGCTGGGCTGGGCGTGTAATTGCGATAAATTTATCGCCGCGCAGAATCGCTCAGCGCTCGCGCCCGGAGAGTGAATGAAATTAATAGGGTGGGATATGCGTGCAGCGCGCGCGCGCGCGCGTCAACGTTGTCTCACGCGCCGGCATCAATCTCTTATCACGATAGGATCTCTCTCCAGGATCTAGACATGTAAATTACAGAAGTGTATACTAGAGATGTGCGAACTATTCAAATTCGATTCGAATCCGAATAATTCGGAATAATTTCGAACTGCGAAGATCCGAATACGAATCAAATACATTAGGGTTTGCGCGCATCAGCTAAAAACGGGCCACCTGGACCTGTGTATGTTTGGAGCCTTAACTTGTAATTAACTCAGCTTATAATTAATAACTTAATTATAAATTACTTTAAATATTTAAATATGTAGTTTACTTTAAGATGATATTACAATATCAATACTCACTTTCATATTGAAATCTTCCATCATTATTTGCATCTTTAATTAAAATCATGTTAAATTTTTTAATGATTCGATTCGATTTCATTCGACTCGATTCGAATTCGAATGAAATTTCATAGATTCAATTTGATTCGAATTCGAATCGCATCGAATCTAATGTAATTCGATTCGTTTCGAATCCGAATCCCCATGATTCGAATCCGAATAATTCGGAAATTTCGAACCGCGAAGATCCGAATACGAATCAAATACATTAGCGTTTGCGCGCATCAGCTACAAAACAGGCCATCTGGGCCTGTGTATGTTTGGACTCTTAACTTGTAATTAACTCAACTTATAATTAATAACTTAATCATAAATTACTTTAAATATTTAAATATATAGTTTACTTTAAGATGATATTACAATATCAATACTCACTTTCATATTGAAATCTTCCATCATTATTTGCATGTTTAATTAAAGTCATGTTAAATTTTTTAATGATTCGATTCGATTTCATTCGACTCGATTCGAATTCGAATGAAATTTCATAGATTCGATTTGATTCGAATTCGAATCGCAACGAATCTAATGTAATTCGATTCGTTTCGAATCCGAATCCCCATGATTCGAATCTGAATAATTCGGAAATTTCGAACCGCGAAGATCCGAATACGAATCAAATACATTAGCGTTTGCGCGCATCAGCTACAAAACGGGCCATCTGGGCCTGTGTATCTTTGGACCCTTAACTTGTAATTAACTCAGCTTATAATTAATAACTTAATTATAAATTACTTTAAATATTTAAATATATAGTTTACTTTAAGATGATATTACAATATCAATACTCACTTTCATATTGAAATCTTCCATCATTATTTGCATCTTTAATTAAAGTCATGTTAAATTTTTTAATGATTCGATTCGATTTCATTCGACTCGATTCGAATTCGAATGAAATTTCATAGATTCGATTTGATTCGAATTCAAATCGCATCGAATCTAACGTAATTCGATTCGATTCTTGATTAAAAAATTCTTGATTCGTACGTCTCTAGTGTACTAGTACTAGTATACATCCACGCGGCGCGGATTTTAGGGACGGAGGAATTGCGCGCGGTTACTCACCGCGGAGGCGAGTTACAACATTGCCGCCGCCGACCGACAGACTGCAACAATGCATTGAGGAAAAAGTAATTGGTGTTTTTAATTACAATTGCAACGAGTGTTGCGCTATAATGCTGGTGACGATAACCTTACATGTACAGATATATCGCCGCTGCTATTTTCTCGTTTTCGAGCGATGAAAAGATATGCTTGACGCCGAGGAAAGACAATAATCCCAGTGACGTAGAGCATTCTTTTCTCTTTTCATGTACGCGTCAATGTTTCGCGCGTGGCGTACAATTGCGACCGAAGAAGGCGAAGGAAGCCGGCGAAGTCCTCGAGATCGAGTTTCGTACGAGTCACCCGAGTTATTAGTCGGCTATTAATAAAGACGCGGTTCTTGCGACGCGCAATGACGGTGTTCCCATGCGCGGAAGCATCGCTCTCAAGGTGGCCACCTTAGTCGAGAGAACTCTCCGCGTCGACTAAGAGGACTAAAACCTTTGACGGTGCGACGAAGAAACTCGCGCGCGGCCGAGTCGAAGATTGATCCTGAGAGAGGCGGCGGAGGCCTTCGAGCGTGTTACGACGTAAGAAAGTAATCGACGAAAGGACGCTTGAAGAAAGTGGAGCGCCCGCTTTAATTTGCGGATTTCACTGAAAAGCCAGCGAGTCAAGTTATACTCCTTATGATTTCATTCGCGGATCTCTCGCGTTCGTGCTCGCGAGCGATCTCGCGCGACGTAAGAAAGTGATCATTCTCTACGTCGCTCCGGAGGCGCGGAGGCGAGGCGAGGCGAGGCGAGGCGAGGCGAGGCGAGGCGAGGCGAGGCGAGGCGAGGCGAGGCGAGGCGAGGCGAGGCAGCAGCAGCCGTCGCCGTCGCCGTCGATTGTGGCGGCGCGAGTTTTCACTCGAGGAGAACGGAATAACCCATTTATCCGCGCCGTGTGCCTCCATCCAGCCGGGAGGGACGCGGACTTTAGATTTCCCGTCGTTCGGCTCCGCGAGCAATTAGCCGTTAATTACTCGGGGTTTATCGAAGCCTGCCGTGAGTTCGGCGAGTTGTATGTTTCACGGTCGAACGGACGAGGATTCCACCGGTCGAGCTCTGTCCAGCAGTATCATCGTCATCTTCATCACCGCCGACGCCATCGTCGTTATCCTCGCGGCTGGATGATTTATAAATTCGCGAGCACGGATGTGAGAATGACGTTCTCATAATTAAGCCCGATCAAGGAGGATTTCGCACGTGCGAGTGACGCGCGCGTCCAGCTATCTCGCCTTCCACCGCGAACACCGGATGACGATAACTCCGCGGAGTCGACGAAACGAGTCGACGATCTTGCGAACGTCGCTTCGGATCTGTCGCAGATCTGCGCGTTTTATTCGCGCGACAAAATGCGCTCGCGATCGGGAGAGACGGATAAGCCCACCCATGACTGTATTCTCGTTCGCGTTGCCGCGAACTCGAACGATCGACGCCCCGCTCGAGTATCTCGCGAGGATCGCTCACCTGGTTGATGATCCGTCCTCGTCTGAGAGTGCGATTCCACGGGCGCTCAACGGGCTCGCGCGGGATGCATTCCCAAATTTCGCGCGTCTTCGCGAAGGAGCTCGAGAGAGAGAGAGAGAAAGAGAGCGAGACCTCGCAATTCCCAGGCGGACCGGCGCGAGAAACAACACTAGCCGACTGACGTCTCGCGGCAGACTGACATTCGCGGGCACGTTGCGCCGCGAGAAGAACCGGACGCGGACGAGTGCGGCCGATCTCCTCTCCGCGCGTCGAATCCGCGCGGCGCGGCGCGGCGCGGCGCGGCGGGAGAGGAGCGAGCGAACGGTCGTGGGAGTCGAATCGCGCTGCTAGGTAGATTATTCGGTGAAACGGCGGCCGGACGGCCGGCTCTGATATGGGTGGCGGTACCAGCCACGGTCGGGACCGTGGTCGGGCCAGTCGTCGTCGTCGCTCGTCGTCCACTTATTCCTCGCGAACGTTTGCCAGCCATTCCAAAAGGAAGAGAAAAGTCGAACCGAGCGGCCGTCGCGTCGCCGACGTCGTTAGTGACATTTTCGATTCTGCGCTGAGCCGAAAAGAAGAGAAGTTATGTTGCGACAGAGAGATAGAGGAGAGAGACAGAGAGAGAGAGAGAGGGGGGGGGGAGAGGGAGAAAGAAAAGATTACAATAGACTGCAGAAATTTGTACCGCGAGAATATACTCTTTGGATGGAGAAGAGGAGAGAGAGAGAGAGAGAGAGAGAGAGAGAGAGAGAGAGAGAGGGGGGGAGGAGAGCGAGATAGCGACTGATCGGTCGCGCTGAGAGCTGTCGCGGCGAGTCTTCACAGAATAAAGTAGTGAGCGCAATCGTTGATGGTAGATGATCCGATAGAATGAGAAGGGATAGGAGGATGGCGGTACCAGCCACGGCCGAGACCGAGCTGTGTCCGTCCTCCATCGTGGGCTACAGGTTGTTACAGGGGCGGGGAGGAGACGAGGGAGGCGATGGAGAGACACGCGTGTTCTTACGATCAGGATGTCTCTCTTTCTTCCTCTCTGCTTATCTGTCGGTCACTACTCGCCCGTCCGTGTCTCTCTCTCTCTCTCTCTCTCTCTCTCTCTCTCTCTCTCTCTCTCTCTCTCTCTCTCCTGGTCCCTTCGCGCTAAATAGATAAGGGGATAACCGGCGCCGCGCGCGAGATCGTCTCGAAACAATCGGCCGACGATAGTTACACTCCATTCTCTATTCATAGCTCGGCGAGCGTTACGCGAGGCCGAACACGGCTCACCGGGAGATCGCTGTAATCTCGAGGAGTTCAATTACCGACACTATGGGAAAGCGAATTGCGATCACCTTAGCCGATCGTCGCGTTTTTCGATCGCCGATCGCCCTTGTCAACGCGCGAAGGAATCCGCTCTTGCGAGGAGATCCGGAAAATCGATCGTCGCCAGCGAGATCCTTATCGTGGCGGCAACGAGAATCTCAGCCCCCGCCGCGGGGGCAAAAATCCTTCCCGCGAGGGGTTTTTGTAAAAGATCGGCCGAGTGAAATTCACAGGGCGAGGCTCAGCGCGACAAGATGCGCGTGGCGAGTGCACTTCTACGCATTTAACGGCCGTAAACGTGAAACGTTCTTCGCAGCAGCGAGTGACCCCGTATACACATGCACGCGCGACACACACGCACACAACGATATCTCTCTTTTATGAAGCCGGTCGCTATCACAGCAAGTGCGCATTTAACTACCGTTTTGAGAGAAATAACGCCGAATTGCGAAAGCACGCGAGGGCGTTCCGCCATGCGACGCGCGGACGTTAAAAGGTGCGTGACCGCGTATAAACGCGAGCGATCATAAATCACGCGTTTTTGCCAGCCAGTTTCTTTTCTCTCTCTTCGTATACGTCTTTTTTCTGTTTGCTCCTTTCCTCGGTCTTTTCTGTACTCGCGCGTCGGAAAATCCGCTGCCGCCGCGCGCAAAGCAATATTAATGAGCTCCGCGAAGTAAATAATACGCGCTAATGCACGTCGTATGTGAGCACCTCTCAATGGCTTTTAACTCGCACACGTGGCTTGACAACCCGCGCAAGCGACCCGTGCGAAGCAAAGTTCCGCCACGATAAAGGACAAAGCCGAGAGGTGAGAAGGACATTCTAAAACAAACCAAGCAGCTTTTTTCGCAGCCCGCGGCGGTCGTTCGGAATTATTAAAGCTTCTTTATTTTTGCAACAACGACAACTATTTTGGCAGTTGAGCCGGATAACGAGAACATATCTAGTTTAATGACACAAAATACCGTCGTAAAAATTCCTCCTCCCCTTTCCCATCGTGGCGGAGTGGGATTTACTGTCGGCGGTGAAACCGAAAAACTTCACGGCCGAATCGCCGGGATTTCCGCCGATCGCCGCGATCGAGGCGTATCGAGGCGATTAGCGCGATTCCAAACAGAACACACCGTATTGTAATCGCAGGCAGCGAGCGAGAATCGGCATCACCGGCCACTAAACGCGGACAACAGGTTTCAGGTGTGATTCAGCGTCGCGGCGGGGAACCGGTTTTTTTTCCATGCGCATGCTCGTCACCTCATTCATTATACAATCAAACGCCGAAAGGCGGGTTGCACAATTTTTGTTTTGGTTCCCTCTTTCCGCCGGTTATAAGTGGCCAGCGGTCTTCGACGATCCGTCGGCGGAGACCCGCGCCTTCGTCGTCGTGGACACGGTAGCCGTGCGCGAAAGTAGGGAAAGTATCTCTCGATTTGTTCGCATCATATCCGACACACATATCGGCCGACGGTCGACGACAAAAGGAAATCGTAATCGGGTGTCGTTGCGAGACGCGAGTTGCGAGTTCAACGCGAGCGCGCCGCGCCGTTTGAATGAATTTTCGCGAGGAACGCGAGGAGATGCCGCCTCTGTGTTCCCGCATACAGGCGGAGCAACATTTTTGCGGAATCGTCGCCACATTGTGCCGCGCTAACGGGACGACGATTATCCGTGTGTCCGCGACGCGCGTGTGCGCGACGTTCACTTTACATAATAACGGCCGGGGCCGGGAACTTATTATAAAAACATCGTGTGCTCTCGCCGGTGACTCTATCGGTGTTCTCTATTACGCGAGAGAGAGAGAGAGAGAAATAATCGCGCTGCGTAATTCGTCTAGAATTCACTGGATTGATCGAAGCGCGCCGTGACGCCCTCGCGAGAGAGAGAGAGAGAGAGAGAGAGAGAGAGAGAGAGAGAGAGAGAGAGAGAGAGAGAGAGAGAGAGAGAGAGAGAGAGAGAGAGAGAGAGAGAGAGAGTGCGTAAAAAGGTTCGCGCTGAGAAACGCACGCGCGCGTATTTGCGTTTATCTTTGCTTAGGTATGCGTGCGTGCGTGCGTGTGCGCGGAATGCACACGCGTGTATGCAGGCGAATAACGCCCACTTGATAAACGCCGAGAGTCGACAGACAAAATAGCAATTAATCGTCGGAAATTCGCTGCAATGCGAAACACGAGAGCGGATTATCGCGCGGCCACGCCGCGCCGCGTCACCGCGCGAGCTCCTTTTTCACCGCGACTCTCGCGGTTCGCGTTTCGATTTGCACTTTCATTTTTCGTCACGACGCTCGCGCAAAACGCGCGGATCGCGCGCCAGCGTGAAATTGCAATCTCCAGCCGCGTAATTGTTGCGAGCGTACCGAGCATATGGAACGGAACGGCGCGCGGCGGAGAGCGTGTTCGAATAATTGTATCACTTCAGCTGCTTGAGAACGTGCAAACAAATCGACGATCGGAACGTCGATTGTGCAAATCGCGAGATCGCGGACTCTCGCGAGGTATCCGACTGCTCTCTCGAGGAGGTAGCGCATTCGCGGCTGGAATCTGCTCTCATGAAGCCGAGACGAAATTCGTCGCGACTTCTCGCCGCGACGCGTGAAATCGTTCCGTCGACAAAGCGGTCGGCCGGCCGGCCGGCCGGCCAATCTTATTATTCAACATTGCAGGTAAGTCGCAGTGCAGTAATACAACGCGACAACGTACCGCTCGCGACGCCGACGATATAAATACGCGCAGTTATGTAAAGCGAGATAGCAACAGATAATAGTAACGGAGATCGGGACGAAACGCGCGAAATCATTTTTTTCACGCGTCTACAGTAGTTTTCCTCGAACGGTGATAATTGAACGCGACGCACGCGGGAAACAGGATCTCTAATGATATCCATTCGTTGAACCCGCCTGTGTATGACGGACGTCTGCCTCTCGGAAAATTCCCCACGATTTCATCAATTTTACAATTTGAAATGATTAGCGCGACTCGACGCGCGCGCGCGCGCGTGGAATATTTTACGTCAGACGACGATTACGATTACGGAAGCGGGCGGGAGAGAGAGAGAGAGAGAGAGGGGAAGGGGAAGAAGAAGAAGAGACACGGAGGGGACACGGAGGAGTCGGTAGAGTAGAATTGATGGATTCGCGACATGTAATTTCCGCGTCAATAATGCGCGCGAGCGAAGGTTACCGGGAAGAGACGAACGTTTCCAACTGACGACAGTTCTCCAATTCCGACAATTCCGCCTTTTTGTTTATAAATTGTTTATTCGGCAACACTCATCTGGTTTGTCGGGATAAAGACTCGCATCGCGGATCGAGAGCGTCGTCGCGCGCGCGAAACGCGCGCCGAGAGTTTTCAAGGGGATTTTTTTCTCAACGGGCGAGGCGACGAATTTTGCGGCGCGTGCTTTTCCGCGGAAGAGCGCAAAAGTCAAACGTTAAAGTCGTCGGAGTAAAAACGCGTCTCGCGGGCGACGCCGATTACCGTTCACTCGGTATTACGTATGGCGTGCTTTTATCCGGCGGCGGAGCAATACGTTGTCTCATGGCGCGCCCGTCGGATCCGAACACGGTCGTTCTCGCTAATTGGCCTCGTAAATAATGTACAGGCGAAGCCGATAATGCACGAGTCGTATTGTCGAAACGAAAATCGACGCGAGCCAGAGACGGGCGTACGACGATAATAAATCACGTCGTCGAGAAGTTGCCGAGCGTGCGAGTCGAATTCGCGAGTCATCGATTCTCAATAGCGAAATTACGTTTCTACAGCTCCGCTAAACCTCGGCCGGCTCGCGTCTGGTTCGCGTGTAAATCCGATCTTGTAACCGACACCGCTTCGCGATATCGCGAAACACCCCGCTCTGCACAGCCCGCAAAATGTTTCCAGATGGTCAGCTGATCCCTACGCGACCGTGCTCTTGACCGTCGCGAGGGTCCCTTTCGCGCCCGCATTTTCGTGCGCCTGCATTGTGTCGTCGCATGGCAGAAGGTCGACGTTTCTCCATATACCGGGTGACCCGTCGCAACCCAGACGATTGCCCGCACCGTTACGCAAGTCGCGAGTCGCGACGGGCGTTTCAGATACAATTATCCGAGTGCTTTGATGACACTCCATACTGACGTCGCGTCGTACCGCATCACGTGCGTTCGCACATGAAGTTTCAGGAGGCGTTGACTAGCGCGAGCGAGCAGCGGCAAGCACGACTGTGATGTGATACCGTATCCAAATACTTTTATACTCGACGCTAACGATAAGTATTTCAGGATTTCCGCTGAGTATCTCGGCAAGATTTTCACGTTATCGTCGAGTCGTCAAGTTGAGATACAGAATACAGTGACAGTACGACAGACACTTCCAAATTTTTAAAAATGAGACAAGTGGGCGACAAGCGAGTGAAAGAAGTATCTCCTCGAGTCACATTACGTTCACATTACGTTCACATTACGTGAAATCACCGTGAAAATGCGCGATTAATTTTGCAAACAGAATGTCGAGGTAAATATTTCCTTAAAACATTTCACGCTAAATCTGGCAACCGAGAAACTAATGTCTGTGTTAAGTAACGCAGGTGCGAGATTCCTGGTAACTCTGACAGCTGCGAGTCATTCCCCCGAGAGTAAGTGTACCTTCCTTATGCGAAAGTAACAGATCGAAAACCCGGTGGAATGAGCTAGTGAAAATTCCGTAGTAAAAAGGAGCGTTATTAATTAAATTAATATTTTCTTTTAATTCCCCTCCTCCCTCTCTCTCAAGCTCTCTAAGATTCTGTTGTAGACGAAATTAAAAAGAAAAAAAAAAAATGTTATAGTCGATTTCATCGAATAACTTTTCTCCATTCTTTTCTCCTTTAAATTTAATTTCGTATAAGGCCTGGTTGCACCAACGTTATTTTGGCTTTAAGTAAAACTTAAAACTATAAACTTGTTGCACCAAAGTATAAGTAATACTTATAATGGTTTAAGTTGCACTTATATTAAGCGATGATTCTAGTACCGCTTAAGAAGGTTTAAGGAAAATAAATCGCCGTTGTAGCATATTATTGGTCGATTTTTACTGCTCGTGCATCGTTGGCGCGTAGAGCGGTTAGTTTTGAATGGTCAAGAGAAAATAAAGAGAAGAAAGAAGAACTATTCCTGTTAATTGCTTAAACAAGAAAAATGGATATAGATTACGATATGCTAGAAGATGACGATTTAGACGCATACGAGTTAATTGTTTACGGAATACCGCGAAATGCACATATGCGTAATAATTATTTTGCAGAGTATGAGGAATTAAATTCTTTTAGAAGATTTAAGTTAAGGAAAGAATCTGTTATAAATATATTAGAACAGATTGAAAATCAGTTACAATATACACATAATAGGTAAATATCTTATTTCTATTAATTCTAGATGTATAATCTTTAAATGTATGTAACATTATAGGTTGGTTGGTTTTAATTTTACAACAATATTTTTGTTAATTTTACAGAAATAATTTGGTAACACCAATGCAACAATTAGTGATTACTTTACGTCTTTATGCAACGAATGGTTTTTTTAATAACAATGGGGGACTATGGCGGAATGGACAAATCAACTGTATCACGAATAATTGTTAGAGTGTCTAAAGCTATAGCTTCTTTGGCACACATTTATATAAAGTTACCACAAACACAAGAAGAAATTTCACAAGCTCAAAGAAATTTTTACAATATTGCTGCATTTCCAAGAGTAATTGGTGCTATTGATTGATACACATGTAAAAATACAATCTCCAGGTATATTATAGTATTATAAGTATGTTTCATAAATATATAATTTATATGTTTAAAAAGACATACATTCATTGCTTTGTGTGTGTGTGTATGAAATTTATGTGTATGAAATAGGTGGTGATGATGCAGAAATATTTCGAAATAGAAAATCGTACTTTTCATTAAATGTACAAGTTGTGGCCAATGCTAATAAAGAAATAATTGACATCGTAGCTCGATGGCCAAGTTCAGTTCACGATTCAACAATTTTTCAGAACAATAATTTAAGAATGCTATTTAAAACACGTCATTTTCACAACTGCTTATTATTGGGTGTGTATGTATGATTTTAACGATAAAATAATGTATACTCTATTCTACATGTGATTACACGACGGAGTGTGTATGTGTGTGTAATTATTTTATCATAATTATTTGTTCATACTATTACAGTTAAACATACTGTTTCAGGTGATAGTGCATATCCTGCAAAACCTTATTTATTTATTCGTTATTAAACCCTGAAAGTCGTGCCCAACAATTATATAACGAGTCACAAATTCGAACAAGAACCGTACTAGAACACACATTTGGTATTTGGAAATGTAGATTTCCAATATCAGCATATGGAAGTCGTTTAAAGATCAGAACGGTAATGACAATAATAATAGCAACTGCTGTATTGCATAATAAAGCACAACGTCGAAGGGAAGACATGCCTCCTACTGATGATGAAGATGCAAATATTTTAGAAAATATTATCGTAGATAATAATGTAATAAACCTTCCTCATGCTCAAAATGAAGCAGGAAATGCTGGTCTAGTAGCATGTAATATTTTAATTAATGAATATTTTAACAACTTAAACACCAGTGTGCTATAAAACACATTTAAAATATTAAAAATAATTATATTATTTTTATAATAAATTACTACATTACTCATGTAATACAAAATTGTATTACTGTTGTGTGTAATAAATAACAGTATTATTACTTATATAATAAATACACATGTAAAAATATGAAGGATTGGTTTTATAATATCACATTTTTTTTATTTACGAACATATTTTTTATTGCACATGTATTGCACATAAAAATAATATTGTTTTTTGACAACACAAAATAATAATAAATAATATTAAAAGAACAATACTAGAAACTCTTCTTTGACATCACATTTTTTAAACTAAACATATACTTATGTAATATATATTATATTTTGTAATATAAATTTTCATATAACTCTTTAACCTAATATTACGTTTTACTTATATTATTATCATGAATAGGAAAGTTACTCAAAGGTGTAAAAAAAGTAAAATTTACACAGTTATTTTCTCAATTCTGCGTATCGGCGAGTTCGATATTGCGACTGCACAAAAATCTGATGTAGTAAATAAATCACTCAAGTTCTTCATAAAAGCATAATCTTCAATTTGGGTTGCAAAAATAATTGTGTAAACTTTATTTTTTTTCACGCCTTTTAAGTAACTTTCCCATTCCTGATTATTACCAAGTACAAAAATATTATAGAATCGAAAAAAGAAAAAGATGAAAAAAACACAAAATGTCATAGAAACTAGTGGAAGGACCACCAATTAATAACTGGTAATAATATTTTGTCACACCTGGTATCAGTCTTTTAATAAATACATTAGGAAAAAGGTTATTAAAGAAGGGAACTTTGCAATTTTCTCAACTATGCTTGCTTCAGTTGTATGTCTAATTCTAAACTTTTTCTCTTTAATTCAAATTCTATTTCGTTTTATTTATTTTTTGTCTCCATTTCTTCTTTTACAGCTATCAACTGCAACTTTGCAAGTTTCAATTCAACTTGTGCCAAATCACTATATTGTTTAGAAATGTGAGAACTGTTTAAAGCCATTGTCAATGTTCTACGTCGTCGTGCTATACTTTGACATAAATTTGATTCGTTTTCTTTATTTTCTGAGGCATTACTTTTTCTTACTTTTAATAATGTGTGTTTAGCTGCTCTTAATTTCTCTGGAGTATATGTATTCCAATTTGATGTACATTTTGTTCTCTTTACTATGTCTTCCTTGCATGCATGTGTTTGTATTAGGATCCTATAAATAACACATTAGTTATTAATTATAAACTTAATCATGAGATTTGACATTTACATTGCTATAACATAAAGCATATGTTATTTTTTGTTTATTGAAATACTTACGACATATGTATTATGTGTTCCAATAATTCCCTCCAAATCATCATCTAATGTTTCATACATTATATATTCTTCTTCCATATCTTCGCTAGATTGATTGTTATTATTAATGTACATAGCGTCATTAGCTACATTGAAATTCACGACCTCCATTAAGTTAGCCCTCCCCCCACATCGAAAATAAAATATCTATTAGGTGCAAAATTAAGTGCTACAATCCCGAATTTGGTGCTCGCGTGGTTTGGCAGAAAAAAAATAAAATAATGGGGGGGGCTAGCTTAACGTTAATTTAGCCCCCCACAAATAAAAAAAACGTACAACCAACACGTAAAATCGAAAACAAATTATGTTAAAATTAGGTGCTAATTAAGTGCTTCAAGAAACAATTTACGGATATTAAAAATATATCGCCGTTCAAAAGTTATAACAAAATAAATATGTCATCTCAACGATGACTGTCCAAGAGAGAACTTATATTATAAAATTAGGTGCTCTCGTGGCTATGGTATCAAATTAAACGTCTCTTCACGCACTGTTGAGATGCCTAAGCGCCGAATTAAGTGCTCGTCCCGTTTTGCAAAAATTCGCACTTAAACGTCGGCGGGCCATGCAGGTTACAAGAGAGAACCTGTCTTAAAAAATTAGGTGCTCTCATGATATGGGTCTCAAAACACTCGTTTTTTTATGTATTGTTTATATATCCAAACGCCGAATTAGGTGCTCGTCCCGTTTTGCAAAAATTCGCACTTAAACGTCAGCAGGCCATGCAGGTCACAAGCGAGAACCTGTCTTAAAAAATTAGGTGTTCCCACGATATTAGTCTCAAAACACTCGTCTTTTGATGCCTTGTCGAGATATCTAAATGTTGAATTTGGTGCTCATGTAGTTTGGCAGAAAAAAAATAAAATAATAGGGGGCGGGCTAGCTTAATGTTAACTCAGCCGTCCCCAAATGAAACAAACCTTTAACCAACATGTAAAACCGAAAACCAATTATGTCAAAATTAGGTACTAATTAAGTGCGCCAAGAAACAATTATGAGATATTAAAAATATAACGTCAATCAAAAGTTATAACATAAAAAATATATCATCTCAGGGATGACTATCCAAGAGAGAACTTATATTATAAAATTATTATCATTATTTATTATATTGTCTGTTATGTAATGTCTATTTATTTTTAAAACCATTGCTTTTCCATATATGCGTGGGCCATTTTGACACACCATTTATTCCAGTTGCTTATCAGTTTTGCAAAAATGTTTCTATTAAGTTTAATTAAGTTTTTATTTCCTCCATGGAATTGGATAATTTTTGTTAAATAATGTTTTCCTAATCATAATCGACTGGATTGGGTAATTATTAAAATGATTCAACTTATATATATATTTCATTATAAATCATATGTACCAAAGACATATGTAATATTTCTTTAGTACATATGATTTATAATGAAATATATATATAAGTTGAATCATTTTAATAATTACCCAATCCAGTCGATTATGATTAGGAAAACATTATTTAACAAAAATTATCCAATTCCATGGAGGAAATAAAAACTTAATTAAACTTAATAGAAACATTTTTGCAAAACTGATAAGCAACTGGAATAAATGGTGTATTAAAATGGCCCACGCATATATGGAAAAGCAATGGTTTTAAAAATAGACATTACATAACAGACAATATAATATATAATAATAATTTTATAATATAAGTTCTCTCTTGGATAGTCATCCTTGAGATGATATATTTTTTATGTTATAACTTTTGATTGACGTTATATTTTTAATATCTCATAATTGATTCTTGGCGCACTTAATTAGCACCTAATTTTGACATAATTGGTTTTCAGTTTTACGTGTTGGTTAAAGGTTTGTTTCATTTGAGGGTGGCTGAGTTAACATTAAGCTAGCCCGCCCCCTATTATTTTATTTTTTTTCTGCCAAACTACACGAGCACCAAATTCAACATTTAGATATCTCGACAAGGCATCAAAAGACGAGTGTTTTGAGACTAATATCGTGGGAACACCTAATTTTTTAAGACAGGTTCTCGCTTGTGACCTGCATGGCCTGCTGACGTTTAAGTGCGAATTTTTGCAAAACGGGACGAGCACCTAATTCGGCGTTTGGATATATAAACAATACATAAAAAAACGAGTGTTTTGAGACCCATATCGTGAGAGCACCTAATTTTTTAAGACAGGTTCTCTCTTGTAACCTGTATCGCCAGCCGACGTTTAAGTGCGAATTTTTGTTAAACGGAACGAGCACCTAATTCGGTGTTTGAATATCTAAATAATGCATAAAAAACGAGTGTTTTGAGACCCATGTCGTGAGAGCATCTAATTTTTTAAGATAGGTCCTCTCTTGTCACCTGCATGGCTCGCCGACGTTTAAGTGAGAATTTTTGCAAAACGGGACGAGCACTTAATTCGGCGCTTGGGTATCTCGACAGTGCGTGAAGAGACGTTTAATTTGATACCATAGCCACGAGAGCACCTAATTTTATAATATAAGTTCTCTCTTGGACAGTCATCGTTGAGATGACATATTTATTTTGTTATAACTTTTGAACGGCGATATATTTTTAATATCCGTAAATTGTCTCTTGGAGCACTTAATTAGCACCTAATTTTAACATAATTTGTTTTCAATTTTACGTGTTGGTTGTACGTTTTTCTTATTTGTGGGGGGCTAAGTTAACGTTAAGCTAGCCCCCCCCATTATTTTATTTTTTTTATTTTTATTTTATTTTTTATTATTATTTTATTTTTTTCTGCCAAACGCGCGAGCACCAAATTCAGGATTGTAGCACCTAATTAGCACTTAATTTTGCACCTATTAGATATTTTATTTTCGCTGTGGGGGGGGCTAACTTAATGGAAGTAAATTCACGTCATCAGACATATTATCAAGTACGTTGCTTGCATCATACAGCGAGTTAAGTTGATTTGTTGCATCAGAATCAAATCTATTTTTTAAATCCTGTCAAATAGCACATTATTCAATCATATCAAATAGCACATTTATTACAATATAAAATTAATTATATATATTGTAATGAAAGAAAGCCTGTTAAAAATTACCTGTGACTGTTTTAGTGTTCATTAATGTTAATACAGTTTCGCGTACGGGATCTAGTATTTTGTGCGCTGATCTTCCACCACCAGTTTTAAATTGTTCCGTTTTCTCTTCAACTGCATTTTTTCTTGTCTCTTTTTTCAAATTTTCATAAAATTTTTTTAATGAATCTGTTGTGCGATAAGTTCCACTTGGTACTATACTATTTAATTCACTTCCGATTCTTTCCCAAGTGTCATTTTTATCTTCCCATGACACTTTATCTGTTTTTTTCGACTCTATTATATTTTTGTATTCAGTAACAATACTTATTAAAGCAGCTTTTTCTTCACTCGTGTAATTTGTGCTACGCGCTCTCCTTTTTTATTTCTTTATTATTCTCGGCCATTTAAAATTAATAAAATATTTATCATAAGATTTTCTACATATATATTATTAATATTATTAAAAAAGAACATAAATATATTTATATAAGATTTACTTACGTTTATATTATAATTCTAAGTCAAAGAGGTTATACATGAAAAAAGATTCAAGGAAACTGAATTACTTGTACACACAAGATAAAAAGTTACTATCAAACGTCCCACTTAACTAAGTATTGTTTTCATGACAGCCGTGCAACGCCAGCAAATTTTAAACAACACTTACTTTAAACGCACCTTAACTAAGCGAAGCACTTTAGTGACGTTGGTGTAACCGGGCCTAAGTGTCTTATATAACGTCATTTAAGTGTATATCTTTCTTAATGAAGCCTTTGATTTGAGAAATACTTGCTGCCGTTTAAAGTCATTCAGTCATTCCGTTTCTACTTAACGGACATCCACTACTTGCATTATCGATCCTTTCTGCATTGGCATTCGCAGAAAATCGATACACCTGCTATTTGGAAGTAACTCACGACCTAATATTTAAAAATGAAGTGACATTGCGAGAGCGTTCTGTTACGCCTCGTGTCACTCGTTCAGGGCTAATGACATTTCATAGTACGCAGCCCGCATATGCGGGCAGCAGCGGAATACGAAGACAAAGCGGAACGAAACAAACAAAGTCGGTTGTTTCTTCTCGATATTAGTAGATTTCCTGCCGCATTCGCGAGCACACAGTCGCGTCGTAAAACTAACAGACGAGGTCAGCCGATACGCGCGATCGGAATGCGCTCAGAATTCGCGCAGGACGCGTCGCCGTCCTGCGACATTGTCGCGTGTCGAGATAACGCTGCGAAAATGTAAATCGTTCTCGCCATCTAGAAAGCAAACTCTCGTCCGTCTGACCGATGTTTCCGCGCTTATTTCGTCCTTTAATAAATTGCTACCTCCGCCTATACCGGGTGGCTCGTGCGCGCCCGTGTATCTGCGTCGTCGACGATGGAATGCGCCTACAGCGGGTTCTTCATACACACACACACACACACACACACACACACACACACATATATACAACACAGAGAAAAGTTCCAACCTGTTTCAAGATCGTTATCGTCTTAATGAAATACTATTTTATTCCATACTTCATTTTATATTATCTATCGTTATCCATCGTATTTGATATCGTCAACGACTCGTCAAAACGCACGTCACCGCCCTCGTCCTGTGACTTCGCTCGTTCGTCGGCGACGTGACGATTACGTCAAATTGAAACAGTCATGCGCGGATTATTTCAGAAAAGTGATAAGACACGTAAGAATCCGCGGTTAAGAGAACGGCGCAGTGACTCGCCGAAGACAACATAGCTGCCGTGACATGATGATGCCTCAAGTCAAGTCCTGTCGGAATGGCAGGTTCGAACCATGCACCGGCTGCTCCTCTCTCTCTCTCTCTCTCTCTCTCTCTCTCTCTCTCTCTCTCTCTCTCTCTCTCTCTCTCTCTCTCTCTCTCTCTCTCTCTCTCTCTCTCTCTCTCTCTCTCTCGTTGGCTCGCGTCAATGCGTCTTCCGCCGCGTGTGCACCGGGTGACTCTTTAAAAGCCGATTCGCTTAGCCATTAAACCGGTCGCTTTTGTCAGCGACGTCGGCCGCGACCAGTTGCGTGCACGCACACACGCACGCGCGCGCAGCAGCCGCCCAAGTCCCGAGTGCAACATGCACCGAGAGAGCGTTACTCATTTCCACACACTGGGTGACGGATTAATCCCTGGGCTAATTGAATACCGCTTCGACTAATCAATCCAAGTCCACGAGGGAGGACGGATCGCGTGCGACGCTGATTAGCGGCGGCGGCGGCGGCGGCGGCGGCTGGCCGAATCGCGCGCGTGGAGACACGCTCGAATACCGTAATCCGCAGGATTCCGTTACTATAATTGGTTACGAATCTGCTTATGAAGAGTGGAAGAATTTACGGTGTTCTTTTCGTATCTCCCCCCCCCTCCCGATCTCCGATCCCCGTGACCTTGCGCGCGTTCGCAGGTGATGATGCTTCGTTACGAGGAATTTCGTGAGAATTTCAGAGAAACGGTCAATTATACGGCACAGTTGATGAGCACGAGCGAACTCAATGATATGTATCACTACGCGCGCGCGCGCGCGCACGTGTGTGTGTTGTACCGAAGGACGCGGCTCGCGCGCAGGAGGAAGAACAGGCGCGTTCGTCAACGACGGAAAATGTCAATTTTCCAACACTCACAAGGCACAAGGGACGACACACGGCACACCAAATCGCCGCTTCGCGGCGATTCGAGCTTTCTAATCTAATCGCTCGGACGAGGCTAACATCGGACAAGAACCACTCGGCGAAGCAACTGAACGTGTTTACGAGTGTTGTCGATGATCGCGGCGCATCGTGAAACTCGCGAAAAGCCCGTTTCGGTCGGAGGAAGGAAAAACGCCCGCTCGCTCGCTAAGCGAGGTAAAAGTGCTTCTGACATTTGAAGGTGGGTAGTACTCGCGCGGCGAGAGCGCGCGGTGCGTTTTCGCGCGGCGAGTCCTTGAGTCACAATTCACCGCTAAGAGCGCGCTACGCTCAGAAATACAAGCCGCTCGCGCGAGGCCATTCGCATTGTTTACAATTAATCCGCGTCTGGATCCTTTGTCCGAGCGATCGTCTCTCTCCGCGAGAGACTTTCTAACGACTAACCCGAATTACCGCTTCAATCCCGCCTCTCACCTCGTCCTGTTGCGTCGTCGCGCGTGTGCGTGCGGGCAAAAACACGAGCATGCCACGCGTTTCGTATGACATAGCACGTGAACACACGTGAACACGTGACAAATAAATCGGGCGGAATGGAAATCTCCGAAACGGACGGATGTCCGTGCGTGCAATACGAATGACTGGACGGCCGGGAAATGGGAAACTTCCTGCGCGCGATATCGCGGCGCAGCTCTCGTTCTCGAAAGGCGAGGAGGTAAATAAACGCGATAAAGGCGAATTGGCCTCGGTGTCATCGAACGAACGAAGCGAGTGTGACACCGAGCGACCGGTCGTCGTTCGCAAGCGAGGACACACATACGCGTACATGCGCGCGCGCGCGCGAACACACACGCGACGCACGCACGCACGCGTTATCCTTCTGCGACGGGGCATCCTGCGACGACAACGAACGAAGGCACGAAGCAGCGCAATTTCTGCGACCTTTGCGTGTTGCCTCCGCCGCAACATTAGTCGCGTCCTTCTCTCTCTTTCTCTCTCCCTCTCTCTCTTTCTCTCTCTCTCTCTCTCTCTCTCTCGCGAGCTCGCGAGCTCGCTCGCGAGCTTGCTCGCTCGCTCGTTCGTTCGTTCGTTCGCTCGCTCCCCCGTAAAAATGCCGAAATAGAAAGTTCAAGCTGTGCGCGCGGTTACGGTGGTGTTCCGAAAGATCTTTTCCATCTCGTTCAGAGTGCGCGCTCGCGCTCGTCGAGAAGCGGTATTCGCAGAAAATTCGGCCAATTTCTTTCCATTTTGTTTCCGGAGCGAGCTCGAAAGTACGGCGCGAGCGTGTAACGCGGTGTTTTCACTTACCGGCCGATTATTATGCTGCCCGGTGATTGACGTTCTTGCACGGGCCGCCGCTTTCCCCAGAAGAACGTAATCCACCTGCTCCGGCAACACACAACTAACCAGTGCGAATGTAAAAGTACGTTTGAGAGTTCAGGCGGGCTTGGCGCGCACAGCGCCCTCCGACGACGCGCTATCTGTCTCCGCCATCTTGCGGTGCGACTGTCGGTGCGACGGTGGTGTCGGTCACTGGACGGCGGGAAATATCAAACTGGACACAGAGGCGAAAGAAGAGGTAGGTAGACAGAAAATTTCGATCGATAAGACGATAATAAAGATGATCGCCTATTGAGAATAAATATTTCAGTTGGTTCCTTTTCCTATTCGAAATGTATTCATATCATAAATCACACCAATGTCACAAATCTTCGACTCGGTTTATTTTACGATCGAATGCTTAAGAACGCAGCGAAGGAAATTGAGAATTTTCGTGGCGCGACTGCGAGACTCGCCATCGCGAATTTCGCGATCGTCGCTGCAAACCCGCGTTTCGATTTCATTCGATCGAGTATAACATCGAGCGGCGTAACATTTTCCGCTCAAAGAGCAAAGTTCTCGTGCGAAGGAAAATGCACGGCAAAATCTAACGCCTCACGAACCGACGAGTGACGACGCTCCTGCACGCTGCTGACACTCTATAGATGCCTTGACATCCAACATGGCCACCTGATATGTAGCAGACGATACACACAGGTGGCATGAAGAGTTGTAAATAAAATCCACCCTCTAGATTTAATTATGAGTGGACGTGTGCAGAAAGAGAGTGCCGATGACTCTGACCGCATCGACGATGCAGTGGATCCAAGAGTGCAGGTGAGAATCGTTGCGTTATGCGTCGCCCTGACGTGACGACCCGCGCGGAACCTGGCGCGGAGAACACGGCGTCTCGTGATATTGACATTTCGCCGTTGCGATAAAAAGGCGTCGCGAGTATTAATCGCACGTAAACGCGGATCGAGGGAAAACACGCGGCGCGATGTGCCCGAACGACGTATCTCCTGTGGATTTCGATGCAACGGTTGCTCCATTTTTCCACGTTGCTAAACGTTTCTTATTTCCCCCTTCTCCTTGCTCCTCCGCCCATCCACGAGTCATAAACGTCCCCGATTCTTATTTCTCCCCCCCCCCTCTGTACCGCTCCTGCTGTCCATGCGACCGAGGGCCCATCACCACGACGACAGCGCGTACTAAATTACCCTCGTTTACCCGGTAACTTGGTATCGTAAACTATTTCATGGAAATGTCGTAAAGTATTTTGCTGGTTTGCATGTGAATGTAATTAAACAATTTTATCAATTATATCTCCGATAAATACGTAAGTAAAATGTTGTTTGTTAGATTAAAAAAACTTCTGTCTACTGCATATAATGTGTTAACAATTAATATGTTATTAAGAGAATTAATGTTATTGTAGAGAAGAAATAATATGTCTACTATCTTGTTTCAGATTGAACTTGAGAGATTGAATACAGCTACTGATGACATTAACAAACTAGAAGTTGATTTAGATGTGAGTAACTTTTTTTTTTTACTAAGCCTCTTGACCTTGGCTCTTGTAAAAGTCTGGACTGCTGTCTAGATTCTATATTGTGATATATGAATGTGACGCTTGAGGAACAAAATTGCTGGCAAGTTTTGAGTCTGATTGCGATTAGATTTTATTGAGATGATTGCTGTGATAAGATACGTGCAAATGGATAATGACTTGAGGAGATGATCTTAACAGCAGTCCATGACAGGCTCAACTAAAGAAATAATTTATAACTTGAGACTGCAGTTTATAAGGAATCATAGCTTCGTGTTACATATTCAGTTCTATTTATATTCTTGTATTAATCATTCTGTCTTTAGGAAGCAAGGGCGACTTTTAGAGAATTACTGTGCGAATCAACAATCAAGATTGACACTTTAGCTAAGAAACTTGGAGCTTGTATCGAAAAGTCCAGGCCATATTATGATGCTAGGTTTAAGGCAAAAGAAGTAAGTCTTTTGTTCAACGATTTGATAATTGTCATATTTTTATCTAAAATTTGAAATTATTTTGAAATTGTTATTCTTCACAGGCACTACAAGAAACGCAGAAAGCTGCAATCAGATTTGAGAGAGCCAATAGTCAACATGCAGCAGCTAAAGAAATGGTATACCTAGCAGAAGAAGGGTTACGAACTGAAGGAAGATGCTTCGATCACGCTTGGCAGGTAAATTATGATTAATGTTGTAGATCTCATTGTTACTTAAAACTGTACACAAGCGTTACACGACAAAACATCTCGTAGGAAATGTTGAATCATGCTACATCGCGAGTCAACGAGTCGGAGCACGAGAGAGCTCTCTCTGAGGCAGAGCATAGGCATACAACCGCATTGTATCACAAAGCGGAACACGAAGTTCAGAGATTACAACGTGAATTGAAACGAACTATTGCCAAATCTAGGTACGTCTAGACTGTCGTGTTAACAAATTTCGAGAATATTCCTACTTCCTACTACTGATGGTTCTGTCAATGCATGAAGTTACCGCATATTAGTTATTTAATATAAGCCACTTCGATGAGCTAGAACCTTGTATAGAACCAAGTTAATGTTCTCGAAACACATGACAAAACGTTTCTTGTTACATTTTTCCCCCTCATTTGTTATCGACATATTTTATTCCTCTTAGTCCGAATATCGAGTTATTTTTTGTGTATGATTATTCTGTTACGTTATTTTCCATAGACCTTACGGTATTTATGTGTTTTGGTTATATGTTCATGTTGGCAGTATGGGTGCACGTCGCAGCTTGCTTCTGATAAACAGTATCGCCTACAGGCACAACTTGCTCATGTTGTAAGTAGGATAGATATTCTTTTTTATTTTTTTCACACGATATTTATGTGTGCCATACTACCGAACTAGCTCTTGGATATTTTTTACTTTTCGAACCATCACCCTCTGAGATTGTGCATGAATTATATAAGAATATTTTGAAACATAGGTAATCTGCTACTTTTTATTTGAGCTTCTCACAATAAATACACTTTACTGCGCAAGGTTTGTTCTTTTTCATTTTTTTACCCAGTCGCTTTCAATCAAATTGCTATGTGATAGATAGTTTGTCATGTGCAACATGTACAAATACAAATAAATATTCGAATAATCAGGAGAATATAAATACATATGAGCCGTTTTTTTCAAGTGGTACGAATCCATATATTTTGACGAGGAAACATTATTTCTATCAGGTTAATTCACATTAATTTGTAATCATGGCATCTAAAAATTATTAATTTTCTTTCGAAATTAGATTTTATCAAAGTATCATTTTTTAAATAAAAATTTTTTAAATAAAAATGGCTCGTATACATTTTTTCACATAGTCGATATATACTTAATAAGATGCAATTTATACATGCAATTTATACAGGCCTTACTATGAAATGAAAGCACATTTCAATCAAATGCTGGAGGAGCAGAAAATGAAAGTCAGTGCGTTGGAGAGATCAGTTGGTGAAGCGAAAATGACATATGCGGAAGCATTACGAAATCTTGAAAAAATCAGCGACGAGATTCACAGGGTATAAATGCATGTGTGTTTATGCGAGAGAGAGAGAGAGAGAGAGAGATAGATAGATAGATAGATAGATAGATAGATAGATAGATAGATAGATAGATAGAGAGAGAGAGAGAGAGAGAGAGAGAGAGAGAGAGAGAGAGAGAGAGAGAGAGAGAGAGAACGAAGTAATTCACAGAATTGAGCAAAATTCTCATTACATTTTCCCCGACAGACGAGAAGATACGACGGCACGGATGACTGTGATAAGAATGCACAAGATGTAGGCGATCATTCCACCGTGCCGACCAACACAGCGACTCCAACGGATTCTAGTGTGACCGGATCTCCGGACAGCACGGATTATACTAGCGACGAATATTTGCGCCTTCCTGATAAAATAAGCCCAAGTGTGCCGTGTCCAATGCCTACGAAAGTAAGTGTCGATCTTTGTTACATCATGATCTTCCTTCACCGAGAGTTGATATATACTCTCTGTTCCTCTCAGATCGACCGAGACTCGTCGTCGGAATATCTGGGCCTAAACAACCTGAATCTCTCATCCACTGAACCACGTAAATACATAAAACGTGACCGTCCACGGAGCATCGCGGCGACCGACTCGAAACATATCGTACCTCTAAATCACACGAGCTCCTCTGCACCGGGCCTGGCGGATCTATCGGGAATTATTTCTCCTGTCGAAAAGAGAGTGAAGATCCAGTCGCCGGTGAAGGATAGCAAGAGCAATATCGCGACTCAAAATGGAGAGGAGTGGACGGAGATCAGTTTGAATAACTCGCCGGACGAGATTTACTACAACAATGACGTGTACTCCGACGAGGAGGATCAGATTCCCTACAAACCGCTACCGATGGACCTGAGCCCGGAGATTGCTCAGCCGATCAGCGCAACCGTCGAGCCGCTGAAGGAACAGTCCAATCGAAAAAGACTAATTACTCAAAAATCCTTGCCCACGATATCGAAAGTGAATGAAGTTACTTTGAGTGAAGAAAAGAAAGCCGAAGTTACGAGAAGTCCGTCAGTGAAGAACAGAGGCAAGCTCGACGGTAGCTTAGCCAATTGGATAACCAGAAGTTCAGCTGGGGGTGAGGCCAGCGGTGGTAGTTCCAGTGAGTAACCAATGAGTTTTAATGAATGTGTGACCTCTGTGAAGATATTTCTACTCTATTTCTGCTGTAGAATATATATGTTCTTATAAACATATAAATCTTATTTTTTCCCTCGTTTTAGCGAATTCAAGTAGAAGACAATCTCTCGATATGTTATGGAGCGGTGGTACGGGAGAACGCGTCAAGGAATTACTCAATCACGGTATGATGATGCTAAACATATCTAGCTTGACGGAACGACGTTCCAGCGAACCAAAGACAGCGGAGAGAGACAAGGAGAAGTCTGAAAAGTCCGAGAAGTCGGAGGGTAAAGGAAAGAAAGTCCCTAGTCCATTAGAGAAAACGATGAGCTATCTCAATGCCGATGAGGAGACGTCGGACAGCGAAAGCTTAGCTAGGTAAGTTCTTGACTTACTATTCCCCTCGATATGCGATTTATCGGTTCGCTCTTTATTAATAAATAATTAATACGGGCAATTAGCGTGGAAATGCTAACGGAGGATCAGATCTCCTCGCTCATGATGGAGCCGGATATGAACCAAGTATGCCAAGAGATTTTGGGGACCCCCTTGGTCGAGGTGTGTCCATTATTGCAACAACTGCAACAGCAACAATAGCCTTATCGTGAAGGGACTTGCGTGACCGAGCGGCGAGGAGTCAACAATAGAAAGTGTTCAAGATCGTTATAAAATGATAACGTAAATTTAAGGCACATCTTTTCCGTTGAGGTACCGAGCACACACAGCAATTTGTTTTTCGTACTACGCGCTACTATACGTTTCTATTCAACGTTGTTATGACTTTATAAATTTGTTTGACGTACGTGATGTAGAGCGAAGCAAAAGAACATATTTTTGGGGCAATCGTGGAACCGATGTTGTAAATATTATTATATTCGGGTGTTTTATTCGGTATCAAGTTACTCTGTTAGTGAAAACGATCTACATATACATTTATGTAGGGATATAATCGGTTGAAAGCTTTTAGTTGACTTAGGAATCGCTTGAAAAAAAAAAAAATAAGCAAGAAAGGAAAGTGTCTCATGAGCTCCTCGGACACTATAAGAAGCCTAACGATCTTTTTCGTGGATACGCTTACACAAGATTACCTTAGATTGTCGCTTGGGGAGGGGGGACACATCTTTCCGAACTTATTCTATAAAATCTTTCTAATATTTAGCATTTGGTAAACTAACGAAACATCATTCGCTAAGAAAGCAATATGTAGTTAATTAATTCTAGGAGATTGTGTAGTTCAATCTAGATAGTCGTACACGAATTTATTCCGAGTTGCATTGATTCTATTATTTGCTTGTCTTTGATACGCGACGACTGCTATCACGTTGAAGTCTCTCGGAGCGTTTAAGGTAACTATTATTAGTAGAGCATCGTGCAGCAACAGCGAGATATCAAACGATCTAAGTAAATTAGATTAACCATAACGAGATTTGCGTTCACTATACGTTACAAGACGGTCAGTTACGATGAGTATCATGTTATCCGTTGAATTGTCCGCAAAGCACGAAGCATTGGCGAATAAGGAGAAGAATTCTCAAAGATTCTAAGAGATTTTAGGGAGGATTCTAGAAAGTTACGAGATGCCAATTATGATGTCGATAACCAGATTCTCTCTAAAACGCGGAACGACGTGTACATAAACGTAGCGTAAAAAAAAAGAAAAGTATGACTTCAATCATACACAGACAGATCTGTATGCAAAATGTACTATTAATGTCGAAAATGTTTTCTACAAGTTAAATTCCAGTGGAACTCTTAGCAAAATTTTAAGAAATTCTACTCGAATTTAGTTTGAATTCAATCATACGTTAATATGTTGCAAAAAACGAACGATCAAATCATATTTTGATAGAATATTTTGAATACAGATCATAAATCTCGCAGGATTTAACATGGCATGCTATCTCATATACGAAGCTTGTGTAAACGATAGCATATGCGATAGTATTCCACACACACACACACACACACACACATACACACACACACACACACATCCGCCGCAGTTTCAGCCAGATATTTTTTCAATATTTTTTCGCTCCAACTGTGTGCGACAGGGACGACACATGTATCTATCGACAAAGTACCTTATAGTCGTCGATGACAAGCGAGAAGTGTGATTCGCAAATACAAATTATAGTAAGCAGGCAGGTCTGGACAGTCCAATGTGTTATTCGCTCGTGATAATAATAGATCAGAGGATTCGCAGCACACGAACGAATTCCACGACTTGGGACAAGTAAGTTAAGTAATCTAACTCCAATCATTTCTATTGCCACACATTGTGATATAGCTCTTAGCGATTTTAGACATTCAGTTGGATTGTCCAATCGTCGATGAATATTTTAGTGCAAAGGGGTGCATGCAATGTGCTATTTATGAAGAGTAATATATATATACATATATTTAAATTATAAGTTATATGTATATATATACACACACATACACACACGTATATATACAGATCCTATTTATTTTCAACGTGATTTTCCGTAATCGACATTAATTGACGACACTTTTCATACAGCGTTTGTCAATTTTTACACGAGAACAACAACAGTGGCAATTATATTTTCTAGTAGAAATGATTTTACGATTATACGATCGTGATGCGCTGGAAGAGAACAAAAAGAGGAATCATATGTATATGTCGCACACACACATGCAACGTGGTTCAATCGCCGACATTGAAAGCGAGATAAATATCAATTATCGGGAAATATCGTGTTTTAACAACTTATTGTGGCTTGACGCGCGTATACAAAGTCCATTATATTGTACATACTTTCGGTAATGTAATCTACTCTTTAAGGTCCGCATTCATATCGCACATTTAATAATGCCAAATGTAAGGATACGAATGTGAACCAGAATCTTTTTACGTGTACAAAATGCGACGAAGTACGCTCTCTAAATCCGCATCCGCTGATTCGAATGATTTACTCTGTTTCAAGAAATTGATCCGCAGCGCGATCAGTTACTCGCTTAACGAACGAAATTCTACCGATTCTCACGAATGATATTTTCGCGAGGAGAATACGTAGTGCCATGTATCGTTCATATCCTTAGCTCTCCGTGTGAGTCTAGACCACTGTCGAGTAGGACCCGTAGATGCGCGATTCTTCCATTCTATTATCACGAAGACGTACGAGGTTTGAGGTGTGAAAATTGTTCGTCGAAATTCCACACATAATCACAGCGTTATCGCGACTCGCGGACGTTCGAGAAATATTTTCGTCTACGTCGTACGTCGTCGACGCAGTCCGACAATGAGAGATGATAAGAAATTATATTGTACATACCTAATATTGTATATGTGAATGTAACTATGTATATACTATTATCCTCATTAAAACCTCATTACGAAAATATACGCCGTGAGAAAAACCGTGTAACGTTCGCCACGTGTGGCCGTTCGTTTATAAATTTCCGTCTGTTCGCGATCAACTCAACTGACCAACAATTTTGCTGGTCGACCACTCTCGCGTTCATAACTCGTTCATATCGTCGCATTTTATAAGATTAATAGACAATAAATATTATAGTTTTGTGCAATTTACGAATGATCGTCGATCGATCGCTCAAACGTCTCTTGACTCATTTCGTCTATATTCAAATTTGAATCGCAGACTGGACACTGGTCGCCATGACGGCGTCGTTTCTGAAACTTCCCCAAGTAATCCGCACGTTTATCATCACTCGATCGCGAAGAAGTAATGTCGCGGAAACACCGCGATCGCGAGCCCGATCGACGCGATTGTTAGGAATGACAAATGTCGACACAGTCGCGGCCCGAGACGACAAGAATCGCCGATACACGTATAAGATACGATGCGCGATTTAAACAGTTTTTGAGCGGCCTCTTCGCGAGAGACCAGATACGACGAGCTAGTTACCACGGCGGCCACGGCGTTAATGGCCGTCGCGGCGCTGCGAACGCTGCGCGGCCGGAGCCGCGCATTCGGTGAGTGAGCGAGCGCCTCTGTACACGAAACTAAAATGGCGTCGCGTGCACGGTGCCGATGATCTCGTTTCGCCGCGTTTGATCGGGTGATTACGGTTTGCGACGTGCGGTAACGGGGCGACGTCGACGACGACGAGTGCTGGCTGCGCGTTTATTCGCGCGTATAGTGTGTGACGTACGGACTTTGAGGATCGTGCGAGGGAAGAGTGCAGCGGTCGCGCCGCGTACGAACGTTGTAACGAGCGGCGACGGCGACGACAACGACGACGACGACGACGACGACAACGACAACGACAACGGTTGCGGCTGCGGCTGCGGCTGCGGCGACGAGGACAACGGTCGCGGCGGCTGAATCGTGGCGCACAGTATCGCGCTGACTGTCTCGCGTAAGTCCGTGTCTGTTTTCTGTCGAGAGGACGCTCGTCTCATTGGTATGACGAAGGCCGACGTGAGATACACGTTTCCGCGCGTAAGCATCGTAAGCACCGCCGCGGTGACGAAGTATGTGTGTTGACGTGCGCGAGTGAACCCTTCCCGACAACACATCGTTGTTAAGTTTCCGATCGACGCTCGCGCGGAAGCTTCGCCCGTGGAAGCGGGAGCGCGACGACGGCGACGACGACGACGACCACGATAACGACGTCGAGGAGCACGGTGACGGGGACGTGCGTTTAGCCATCCACCATGGCGGTGAATCCGCGTGATATGGACGGCTTCATGCCGCTCCTGTCAACGACGGACATCAAGAAGAAGTTGAATGTCGGTAGTGCGTTGCTGAATTATCTCGGCGACTCCAGCAAGAGCATCGAGTGTCAGGATATCGGCATGTTCATCGATAACATCATACCCTGGCTCGGCAACGGCAATCCCAAGGTGAGTGACAGAACTTCGCCTCGACGACTTTCGACGATTTCGGAGCAAGGCCCACGCGCGCGGGGTACGTTGATTAGTACTCGCGCTGCGCACTTAACCTTTCTCCCCGAATTTTTTCGCCTACTTTCCGATGGCCTTCCGCGCGCGCGCGCGTCGACCATAGTCATTTATCTCATAGATACTTGTTTTCATTGTCATTGAATATTATTAGCGAGAAAATCGAACAGCCCGACACGTTCTTTGCGAAGTTGGACTTTCGAATTACCGCCAGCACAGAAAGCAGCAGCAGCAGCAACCCTTAAGGTGCAAGTCTCTTATTCTCGATGCGAATGTATGTGTAAGTTCAATTAGTTTCGATAACGAGAATATATATCCGGGAAATCCCGGGTGCGGCTGAAGGATGTTATTGTTTTAAGAATCCAACGCCAAGAGTGACTTTTGTTGACAGTGAACGTGACATTTGTTTCGAGCGACTAATGAAGTGTTGATTCGTCGCGCATCAAACCCCGGACTGCTGTTTTTCGCTTACGTCACTCCGTATTACGAGATGCGATTACCTCCGCCGACAGTGAATGAGGCACGAGTCGATCGGCTGATTCGCCCTTAACGTCGTTAACTCGACGTCAACGACGACGTCGGTCCCGCGGTTGCGAGTCTCCTCGTCGAACACTCATGTGACGCTTACGGTCCATAAATGGAGAAAGGAGACGATTGATCAGTCGTCGCCGCCGCCACCGCCGCCGCCGCCGCCTTCGGCGCGCTCCGTAAAACGCCGCTTTTCGTTGCTCGCACGTGAGAACGTGACCGCCCTTATTTTCACTTGTGCCTCGGAAACGAGAACAAGCGTTGTGGGTGGCGCGCGAAAAAATAGCCGGTTGCTAAAGCAGATGTGAATAAAAATTTTGTAAGAACGGTGAAAACAGGAGCGAACAAAAGCATTATATAATATATATATATATATGTATATACATATATATATATATGTGAGAAATTGGCTTGTGTGCGCCGTGTTTTTGTCAGAATAACGTGTTGTTTCATATTTCGCGCGCGACGCTTTTCCCTCTCAGGCGCTTTTCCTGTAAAAACATTTGTTCTTCGAGTGGTAGTTTTGTTTACTTGTTTGTCTAACTTTTCTCTCTCTCTCTCTCTCTCTCCTCTCTCTCTCTCCCCTTCTTCTATACGTCGAAGGAAGGGTCATACACAAAGTAACAATACGTAGATTGCAACGATTAAACGGCACAGTTTGAGGCGACACGAAGGCGTGCCGTGATTACACGTTAATACGACAGACTGCATTTAGGTCGTCTCGAAGATTTGCTTATCAGTATGTATGCATTCGCGCAGATCCATCGTCGGGAGATCGTCGATGTCGCGACGTTGCGTCTTAGCTAAATACACGCCGGCGATCGCGAAATTAATGACGCGCGTGATATAAATAATTTTTCAGACGTCGTATCTTTCGTTTTTCTTTCTTTTCTCACTACCGAGATCTTTCCGTTATTCGTATGATTACTATCTGACATTACAAATGTATGTATCTCAACTTCTTTATCACTACTATTTGTTTCGGTGTATGTTAATACTACGTATTGTCAATACTATTGTATTTGCTTCAAATTCACCATGTCTCGGTCCTAATTTCGTCCGATCGCAAAGTGACGGTCCCCGGGGTGTGTCGAGTGACAAACTCGGCTAATCTTGTGTGCGTGCATACGTACGTGCGTGCGTGCGTGCGTGCGTGCACCGTCCAGGGGTTCTCATTGCGAGCGATCCAATTCGATATTCGTACGTCGGTGTTTAACCTTTAACACTCGAGCAGTCGCGACGACCTCGTCGGTTGTAAATTTAGATGTTGCACGATTTTATACGATTAGCCACTTCACTCCGCTTTCAAGTTTAATCAAGGCGCGAAGATAATCTCGGCGTTATTGTTAGGACTTTCTCTCTTTCGCTTCATCGAATATATTTTCCTTTTTCATTTTTCGCGACCGCGCCTTCGCGCGGGAGTGCAGCAGAATGTTGCACTTTGTAGAATCGTGATATACCGTGAGGATATTTCGAGATCCTCTTTGGCAAAGGATACGACCGCGAGTTCGCCGGCGCGACCTTTAAATTGCTCAATCTGCATCGGGCGATCGAGCAATCGAGTTTATGACATGTTATTGTTGCCGATTGAACTACTCCTACGTCCCCGATATTCTGTCGAATTAAATCTACCACCGTTTATTTATTTCTCAACGAATGGCCAACCTTCCAGAAAAGACGATCGCGATCGCGACTTGATCGAGCGAATTAACAGTACGTGCCGTTTGTTTTGGAAATATCGAAAATTGAAACCTACACTGAGAGAAAAATTGTATTAAAATTAAGCAAATATTTGTTTGAATACAACTGTGAATACATTTATTTAAATTAAGCAATTATTTTCTAAAATTCGAGAAAAAAGGAAAAGAAACCTCTGTATTTTATTTTAGAGATTAGTCGCTTAATTTGAATAAATGTATTCGAACAAATATTTGTTTAATTTTTTCTCCGTGTAACGGGCGAAGGCGAAGAAAGCGAAGGCATCGGCTCGCGACTCCACACGCCGAGTAAAGTCAAAAATGAGCTCCGAGATACGCTTTATAGATCTTCTTGCAGCGTGCGGTCGTTGATTTCGAAGAATCACGGGACTCGGTTCACTGGCGAATATGGGGAATAAACTTTCACGCCATGTACGTATAAACGTGTTCTTTGCTATCGCGTCGCGAAACGTCGGAGAATGACGTCGTTTAATCGGAGCCATTAAGCCGCTAAATGTTCTTCGGTAATGTTCATCGCGAGCGTACACGTCCAAGGTGAGGATTTTTTGAGGATTTATCGCCTTTCGCGATAAATGCGCAGCACCCGGAGTGACAGTTTAATGGAGCATCGAGAGCGATTTGAAACCTCGCCGCGGGATTTGAACCATCAGGTACACCCGACGACACACTGATTTCCTCCCACTTCGCCTCTCGCGCATGATTTCTATATTCCTTGCTGTCGGAAAATCTTACACTTGTTGTTTCTCGACACTTGGCCGAAGTATGTCTTCGTTGCGGTGAAATTTCCAATGTAAGCTAAAGCCTTTTAACTAATTCGTTCAGTTCAATCAGTTCATTGCGTCGAGAAGATTGGTCACTGTTTTCGCGGCGATATTTATGTAGCAATAATTCCAACGGGGCGATGTTAGTTGACATTAATGACGTATTCGTTTACGAGTTGATGTCGGCTTTTCGGTAAGAAGATCCGCGGTATCGCGTGGCAAAATCTCTGTTCGGAGACAAGTGGGCGTAAGAAATCGTTCTTGTCACTCGGCCGGTGACGAGTGACTCACATCATGTGTGGCATTTTTATATATCTAATTACGCACCGAATTTTATCACGTCGATCTAAGTGCACTCCACGTAAGACAACGAGATTTCAAGTGCTCTTTCTTTTTTTTTTTATCAGTGAGCAATGACGCTCGGTGTGAGTACTCGCGACGACATGATATTTAACTTGCAACGTTATTTACTGAAATTCTCTGGTCGTTCTCTCCTTCGAGTTGCGATCGCACGCTGCAAATTCTCGCTCGAGAATTTTTCACCGCGTTACACCTG